CCCCCCCACCGCTCCTCGCTCCCCTTCACTGGCGCTTCCTCTTCATAGCACGATGCTCCGGCTGTCGCTGGTGGCGCTCCGACAGGCATCTCGGCCGGCCTTCCGGCCGACAGCCCTGGCCCGTGTGGCGCCAGTGCCCGCGGCCGCGGTGATGCCCCCGACGACGCGAATTCGCCTGTGTCGGCACTTTTCCTCGCTGCATGTGGATCGTGCACCCGACGCCGAGCACCATGCCGGTCCCGAGCCTGTCCCCAGCATGGGGCCCACTCCTTACGATGGCAGCCTGCACGTCGACCCGGCAGACATCCAGTTTGCCCTGGACAACTTGCCCACCGATCCGACCGAGCAGCAGCAGCTCGCCGAGCGCCTGCTCCGCTCGGTCCGCGGGAACCTGACCCTGCTTCCGGAGGTGGAGCTATTGTCCTTCCTGGCCATTGCCCCACCCCGGCTGCTCAATAGTCCGTGCCTCTGCCGCCCCCCTCCTCCTCCTCCTCCCCCTCTGTGCTCCACAGCCCGCCTTTGGGCCCCTGCCACTCTGTAACTGACCGCCGCCCGGGCACCTTCCTTCGAGGCAGCCATCGCCAAAAATGTCGGCATCTCCACGCGCATGGAGAGGCCTGCCGTGCAGCGCGCGGTGGCCGCCCACTTCCTCAACTCGGCCACCCCCTTCGTTGAAAGTCGCTCCGCCTCCTCGGATCCCGCCACCGGGCTGAGCTACGCGGATCCCGCCTGGTGGGATGGGGGCATGTCGCCCGGGTCCGACATCCTCAATCATCTGAACAAGCAGCGGCAGCATCGGCTCTCCGTCCCCCCGGGGGCACGTCAGCTCCCGCCGCCGCCGGCCGACTTGCTGGCTGGCACGGAGTTTACATTCTTCCTTCAGAATCGCGCCTCCTTCGCCTATGACCGTGCGCCAGCGCCACGAGCTGCTCCGCCTCTTCCTCTCCCTCCTCTTGCCCTTTCCCTTTTCGTGATCCTGCTGCACCCCTACCCCCCCCCCCCCCCCCCCCCCCCCCCCCCCCCCCCCCCCCCCC